GAAGGAAAAGTTTGATATCGTTAGAAAGGGTATAACACAAGTATTCCAGAACATTAAATTGTTTTGGAATATCGTCTTTGGTTTTGGAATTGTGCGTGTGACGCTATGGTAAAAAGTTAATGATCGTTTTATGGTTAGGGTTCGGGTTAGGGTTAGGGTAAACGAAAGTCCCAGGAAGGAAAAGTTTGGAATCGTCTGATAGGGTATGACACAAATATTCCAGGACAGTTAACCGTTTTGGAATATCGACTTTAGTTTTGGAATTCTACGTGTTTGAAATTTTTAGGTGACGCTATGGTAAAAAGTAAATGATCATGTTATGGTTAGGGTTTGGGTTATTGCCGGGTGGCGGGAATGGCCGGGCACTGGCACGAAAGCCGGCAGCTGGTAGGACGGATGGGTGTTACTCCTTAGCGTTAGCATGATAACGATGATGTTGGAGTTCATGTGAGATATTATTAAATGTGTTTTTGCGGCGGAGTTCCGCTGAGTGGTAGTCATAGTTTGCTCCTCTTTTTTTTGAAAGTTTGTTCCTTTTTTGAAATAGTTTAAGTTATTGTACTCTTGTAGTGGTAAGAGTTCAGGGTTCGTGTCTTCCGGTCTCTTAACCCTCAACAGAACACCTTCCCGGACTGATTAATCTGTACACCTGGGGTCCGCGCGGACCCCAGAGCAGTTTTTTGCTAATTTTTAGAAATTATCAACATGCTACCAGCTCAATTGTTTTGTAAACTGATGTGGGAACCTCTGTGTCCACATTACATACAAAAATCATACATTTTGAACTTTTTCTATTTTTTGGTGAAGAAAAGAAGGCAAGAAGAAATACCCGATTTTTAAACCCATTTCAGACTGAAGGGACTTTTGAGACCCAACTTTGATCTCAGATAGCGGCTAAACGGCTTGCGCTAGAAGTATCAAATTTGGAGACCTTTCCTAAAATGTCTCTGGAAAAAAGTTCATATTAGTTTTGTACTAGTAAGTTGATGTTTTTTTGTGTTGCCATGGCAACGGGTAGTTTTTTTGAAAATAGAAGTAATTTTGGTTTAAACATAAAAATTTTCTGAGTTTTATATAAAATTACACTTCTTTTCCAACATTAATAACATCTTACATAATTAAATATAAGTTAAATCATTTAATATGCATAGAATATGCTAATTTGATGACGTCATTGGTCAAAATCCAATATGGCGGACTATATTATTAGCTCTGACGTCATATGACGTCATAATTACACCAAAGTTATTAAAATTTAATTCTATTACTACACCATTCTCTGAAAACTTGGTAGACATACGATGAATGCATAAAAACATATAAAAACGGAAATAAGGTAATGTATAAGAACGCCAGTGTATCCATTATGATCGAAAGCCGGCTGGGGTCCGCGCGGACCCCAAAAGAAAATCAGATATAATTTTTTTTATAAATGGTAGAAACGGAGTTTTCTGCACTGTAGTGAGAGACAACTTTGTGGGTGACAATTACCTAAAATTTCAGAAAAAAATCTTTAGAAACAAAAAAGATATTATAGAATATATAGTGCTGGGGTCCGCGCGGACCCCAGGTGTACTGTTTAGGGTTAAGGTAGTGTTTCACATGGAATCTGTGGTAGGTGTCGTACGCTCTAGGGGCGCTGTTGTTGTAGGCCTAACTTAAGTTAACAGTCAGTTTATAAGTTTGGCATCTGAGTTCAATAGTGTCTGTCGGTTGTGTTGACGAGCATGCCGGTGCTGTAGTGTTTGTGCCATTGATTGTATCTGTTGTCCTACCCCACCCCAACCCCTGCAGGTGTTCTTCGCAGGATCACTAGTGGACAGAGTTCCGGTCGTTGTGGTCCCGTGAGACGTCTAGAGAGACGGTGGGAGAGCGCAAGCCGGGCACCGAGGGGAAGGATGGAGAGGCGGCACGTGACAGCCAGGCGTTTGAGCTGAGGAGATAGAGTTAGAGAGAGAGTGTGGATGTGCAGTCATCTGTGGTTGCTGTGAGTTTCCTAACCCATCCCACCACAAGCGTGATTCCACAGATCAACTCAGAGAGCATCTCGCCGGGAGGCCTCTGAGAGCAACACGCCTCTTCCTGATGGACTGAGTTTTACTACCGTTTCCTGTGGTCCCTGCGTGAAAATCAGGGAGTGCGCGCCGACCGCTGAGGAGATGGAGGAAGCGGGAATCATAGGCATCCACGTATGGAGGCGACGGGAGAATCGCGTGCGGCGAGTGAGGAGAGAGTTGAGAGCGGCGGGCGGCGAGTTGTCGGACTCAATGACAAAATGAACTCTTTTTGATGTTGTCTGTTATTTTATGTTCTTAGTAGTTGTTTTATGTAACCATAGTTTCACCGTTTCATTTATGCATACTGGGCTTTATTGTGTAATACGACATAGCGGGGACGTCATGGAAAAGAGCTGTGGGAGATGTCACGGGGTGACAGATTGTCTTTGGGGGCACAGATTTCCGTTGTTGCTAGGGGTTGTCCCCTGCCTAGCCTTCTATCTTTAGCTCGTAGATTAGAACCACATGTACCAGGGAGATATAATAGGGCTAACAGGGGAGATCAGGGGAGATGAGCACAAGGGGCTGCGAAGAAAGGTTGTGGCTGTGGCAATAAAGAACATTTCATATACGTCGATGAAGGTTAGACATCCAGGTAAAACGATACGCCAAAAAGCAGTTACTCAAGCAACTGGATATGATTTTGAAATCGTCAGACGTTTCAGCTAGTATCCACTACTTTTGGTCAGTGACGGAGAGACCGGAGGGGAAATGCAGGTTTATCATGAAGCACAAACTATTGATTGATATGCAAATAAAGTGAAGACAGATTTTTTGGAAGTCGAAAAAGGAACAAAAGTCAGACAAGTCAAGATAATGCAAATTCAGAAAGCTCCTGTTATTTTGACTAAATGGACAATTTGGAAGTTGGACTACCCTGTCAATGTGTTTTTGCAATAGTTAAGCACTCAAGTAGGTGATTGTTGACAGCTCAGTTCTTAGATGTTTTCTAAATACAAATGTATTCCAATAGGGGCTGGAACAGTGGGTAACTGTAAAAACCGGAGCCCCGTCGGGGCCCCGTTTGCGGAGTAATCTGCAACAATGCAACAAATTAATATGCAATAAAATGAGGTGTAGACGGTTTCCGACAGCGAGCAGAGGTTTCTCGGGTAACAACGTACGAATATGACCGTAGTGTCAACAAAAACCTTACATGTAGCTAGCTCCAAGTTTGTATATGCGCCCCCTCCCCCTCTGTTTTGGCGCCGGAAAATAGAATTTCTGATTCTTCTTGAAACAATGTGGGTACTAGTATTTTTCTAGGGCATTATCCTTGATATTTTCTTATGTATTTTCTGTAAGAAACTACGCACATATAATAAATTACGCACCCCGGCTCAGACCAAACGCGACCACCGTAAAACCCGCTATTACCACTAGTAGTAATATTACGCACCCTTCTCCGCGTGCCCTACATGTACCTCATGTGAAAATCTACATGGAAGGAAGGACAGGAGAAAAGGTTGATTGAAAACATATCATTTGTATGGTAATTATTTTGCAGAAGAAAGGGAGCCCCGTCGGTAAGTACTAGTATACGTATGCTACCCGTCTTTTGAAGTCACAATCTCATCATCGTCGACGACACACAAGACCAACACAAGGTAAGACCAACACACTGGGTGGAACGTACGATTTCGGCAATGAAGACTAATATATTGGCGGATGAGGTTTGTATCAAATTAAACTTTACAAAATTAAATGTATCCCGATTATATCACTGCCTTATTGCAAATCTATACGACTATTGTGCTTAAAATGATTACAGATTAGCGGCATCGTACCGCCAAAGTCCCCGCTTATTGCCGTGCGACAAAACCTGCCCGTCCCTTTTCGCTATTGCCCTGTGCTATTCTGTGTGCAGACCTAGCCACTAACCCGATACTCTAGGTTTGTGACAAAGAGTCAAAGGTCAGTCTTTCGCCGGAGGGTATGTTAGTACTACAGGAGGGACATGTCATGGAGGTAATAATATTGATGGCGCTGAAAAGAGGGTCACTTGGTAGCGGCGGGTCGTGCCCAGAAAAATACGACCTTTACCAAGCAGTCACACAACTGGGAGAAACATAAGAACATGAAGATTTACAAAACAGTAGAAATTTCGACTCTGGGTGTTTGATTTGTAGAAAACCGCGTTCGCGTACGCTAAATATAAGGGGTAAGGAACAAAAATGCGTAGAAAACCTTATTTTATTCACATTTATTTTCCGAGGATGAGGCAAAAAGTTATAAAACTTATCTCAGCCCTCTCCTCACACATAAAAGGATACAATAAAACAAAGTAATAATAATAAGAAGAAATGACAAGGGTACATAGTAGGCTGGTGTACAAATCAAAATGAATCAACTAAATCAAACAAAACGTCCTGTCTGCAAAATAAAGTTGAAAACCACATCAAATATGTTACAGTTGTTGACAAACGACAATGAGGGGTTACCCCTGAGAATGGTTGAACATAAAGTGTTGTCGGTGACGTTGTTTGTGTCAAATGGCAAAATGTTAGTTAGCGATGATAACATGTCAATGCGTTCGTCAGTGTACAGTGGGCAGTGTAGGAAGTAGTGTACAGCTGTTTCGTTGAAGTGACCACATTTGCACGCACGTAGAAAACCTTCATGCAGAACGCTTTTGACAAGCACTGGGGTGTATCAGACCTACGCTGGGAAGAATTCGGCCAACAGCAAAAAG